AAAAAAAAAAAAAAAATGGTAGTTATTAGTGTTTAGGTAATATTATTAGAGGTTCAATAATTTATTTGACAAAATAATTTATGTTTTATGATAATTTTATTCTGGTATAAATTTTAAAAATTATTTATACTTGCCCTTTATTTAATTTTGGGTTCATTGGAAATTAATTATTTTAAAATATAAAATTTGGTATTTAATCCTGTTATTTTAGGATTCTGTGATAGGATATGCTTGAAATAGTTTTTTATTATTTTCTATGATCATATGATAAAATTTCATACGATTTAATGCCAGGAGAAAAAATACATGTCGCTAGAGATATTGATTGCTATGGAAACAATCTTTTCCATTTTATTAATATATACAGGTAACGAAATGACACACCCTTTAAAATATACAATAATTAATTGGTGAAATTATTACTGCAAAAATATTAATTTGTTTCATTATCTTTAATCAGCTTTAGCTTTCTCTTATCTTTTTGCGCCAATTTTCTGACAAATGTAAAAACCAAAGCTTGCTCTATGTTTCAAATTTTTATCTAATAAAGAAATGTGTATAGAGTTGTTTCTTTACACTTCAATCTGCACAAATTTAAAATAGACTTGATGGTATGATATGCTTAGATAGTCAATCTTTAATAAACACCTAGTGTAAATGAAACATGTTATATTTTTATTATAATTCATTTAGTAAAATCAAATTGCTATTAAGTAACTTTTATTTTGTCAAGTTATTAAAAAGTTTTGGTTTTACAGGACAACAATACTACCACAGACTGATAAATTGAAAGCTATGTTGAAACGGTTAGAAGAATACCATGAAAAATTTCTGGATGAATATAAGTAGTAAGTTGATCTTTTACACTTAGATAATTTTAAATACTAAAATGTTATTTCAAATTATCTTATTTCTACTCTAATAATGAATTGTTGTTTCAAATTATCATGTAATAAGTCATATCATATTTAGTTATATCATATAAGTCATATCATATAGAGTTTGAAATATACCATCATTTTTTATAAAATTTAAATTTGTCTGTATTAAAATTAAAACTGCTTACTTGAAATTAAAGAAAAAAAGGTGAAAACTAATTTGCATCTGACTTATAATATGGCAGAATCCAAATTTTTTATCTAATGTGTAACTCTATTTTATAAATTATAACTCTGTAATAAATAATGTATGTACTCTGATATATCTTCATATGTCAAAAATTGTGAAGCATTAAAGAGCTTTGGTGAGGATACATAGATTTCATACTTTTAGATTCATCTTGCACAGTTACCAATACAAATTTTCGGAAAAGATTTTGTGAATTATACCTCCTTCAAATTGTTTTAGGAGAGTTAAATCTGTTTATAAAGCAAACACTATCTAGTTTAAAGATACAAGTTCTTCATAAATTGTTGAGCACAATATAGTTTTTAAAACCCTAAAACGTGGCATGTTTGTGAATGCCATTTGGTACCTTCTTCCATTCCAATAATGTAATGAATTCATTTTTTTAAACATTAATAGAAATTACCTATATATCAATTTTTTTTAGGTTCTACAGCTATCTTCACAAGTCCACTCAATAACTGAGAATGGCTTTACATTACATTCATAGATGTTATCTTGTTGTTGAATGTGATTTACATTATTTAGAATGTTCGTTTGGAAAATATGTTTTCTGTAAATGAAAGAAATATAATAAAGTCTGATATTGTTAGCTCGTGTAAAGCAATAGAGCATGTTTAAAGTTGGTGCTAAATAAAGATGATAAGGAACTTAATTAAAAACAAAGAAAGCCTCAAAATATGTTATTGCCAGAGAATGAGAAAAATATTTTAATCTGTGTATATTCTATTTAATGGGTTGGATTTACCCGTAGCCTGCATAAATGGTATTAGATATTCTTTTTTTGCATTCAGCTCTCTAGTTTTGGTTTTTAATTTGAATATTTATCGATGTACCTTGTAAAATTGACTAGTAAATTTTTTTTTCAAAGAAAGTTTTATTTATATTTTGTAAACAAATCATGTTATGAAATGTATTTTATGATAAATGAATATAATGTGTAAGTGTCTTAACTATGTAAACATATAGATGCATCTTTAATTAGAACTATTGTTACTGAAATGGTTAAATATTGGGAGTAGTAGAGAAATTATTCCTTGCAAATTAATTTAGACAATAGCATAAGTTTAATAATGCTTATCCTATAATTTTTTCTTTTAAATTAACATTACAAAAGTAGAATAAAACATGTTTTCAATTTTAATAACCACCCTGAATTTTTTTTTAAATATTCATACTTTTAATCAGCTTTTTTTCCCCCACTGTTTGTTTTATATATCAACCAATTTTGATAAATCTTTTATTTTCTGAAATACAATTTTATTTCATGACCTCCAAGAGTTTGGCATGGTCTTTAATCTTAAGTACAAATTTTAATATTTTATAAAAATATATTCTTGTGAAATCTAATGAATGAATTTTTAAAGCATTAAAAATAAATTTCAAATCAAGCTCTAGCTTGATTTGTCTTCCTTCTTGTGATAGTTAGTAATTTGTTTTTCTTATGTTTTTTGATGTATAATTGAGCTTAATGGTGATGTATAACATACAAAGATACTGATATATAATATTATGAGTCCACTTTCGAATGTTTGAATGATTCCATTTAGTTGATGTTTCTTTTATTGTTCAATATGCTATACAACATATTTTTATAGTATTTATTTCTATTTGTTCTTGTTAAAATTTATTGAGTTTGTATTAAATATTTGAAATAAAAGATGTATTTAAAAATTGGATTGATGTTGCATTTAATAGAGATATTGTGATTGAGAGGAATAATCTTACAAAAAAGCTCTAGATCTAAGATCCTCTTGTCTATATATTACAATTCTAATCTATGATTTACATATGAGGCATATTCAGATATAAAGATGCTCACTCCCTTTAACCATAAAAATTACATTTCTTCCAATTAGCATTTCAAAAAGGATTTTAAATTGGTATTTTATTTCAATTATAATAATCATCATACTATTCATAATTGGTTTGACATAATTTAAAATATAAAGTTAGGTAAAAAATATATATCACAAATATGAGTTCTGAAGCAGAAGTGCTGAAATGAACCATTTGTAGCACAATTAATCTTACTTCAAAGATCTGAAAATCGATGAAATAATAGATATTGTAAATATATAAAATATTACTTTTTATTATATTCATTTTTATACTTTATAAAATTTTTAAGATTGTTTTTTGCTGTTCTTATCACATGTGCTCTTTCACCCAGAAACTTTCTTTGCTGTTAAAACTGAAAAAAAAAGAAATCTTTTTTAATGATGTTTAGGTATCTAATATTTTTGCTTGTCATAATTGGTATACCATAGTATTAACATATTTAATAGAAAATATTTCTGGCAACTTAATCAACATATTTAACACATTTACAATGAAAATAAGGAGATACTCTGAACATTTTAGGCCAGAATATTTTGACAGATGGTTTAATAAATCAAGCTAGTGAAAAAATGACATAACTCACACCTGAAATAATACAAAACAAAATGCATAATTGCCAATAAAAAAAAAATCCAAAAATGGTTAAGTTAGCATTTGCATAACCCCAATTATATAACATTTGTTTCAACAAGGTACAATTATCTATCTTCGATTTATTATTTTTTTTAACAAGCTAATTCATAAAAAAAAAAAACTGGTTCACACAAGTGGTACTTTTTTACACACACATATACATAAACCAGCATTATTGCCACTTTTGGGAATTGCATGTTAATTTGAAAAGATCTAAATGTACAGGTAGTTAAATGATAAGATAAATTTTTTGATTATTGTAATAACTGAAGAGAGCTTAGTTCACATATTCAGCAAAATTTACGTTTGAACTCAATAGAGCTCAGGCGCTGTCTATTGGGATTAAAGTTGTTATCATGGCTGTTAAAATATAAGAGTTTAGAAAAACGAGGTTGGATGGTGTTTTTTAGCGAGTTGTACGCATACATTCTAATTTTTTTCTACTAAGTCATAATATTAAACAGTTTCTTTCAATTATATTTTTTAAAGTTTGCATACCTTAATTAATTAAAACCATGAGACCCCTTCAGTCAAACAGTCAAGACCCAGACAGTTTCTTTCTATCATATTTTTGAAAGTTTGCGTACTTTAATTTATTAAAACCATAAGCCTCTTCTTCAATTATAAAGAGTAAAAAAATTGCTTAAAATTATTGGGTAAATGCCCTGAATTAAAGGGATGTCTTAAGAAATACAATTTAGATGTAAGAAAAATGAGCAAGAATAATATTTCCCGAAAAATTACTCAATGTTAAAAAAAAATTTCCTTCTTTCCCACCTTAATATTCGATTGAGGAAGTAAATTTGAAAGTGAGGTGATTAATCTTTACCAAGTTTTTGTATTGAATCTGCAGAGTTCCTATCAAAATGTAGAAAAGTAGTTAAAAGTGTAGTTTAATGAAACTTTTGATGTTAGTGTCATGGAGAAAAATCAATAATTTCTACTGTAACAATGATTGTACATGTGGATCCAATAAACTGCATTATAAGTAAAGTCGATCATAATATAAATCTTGCATTTAGTCATTGCTTTTTAAAAAAAATATTAAACCCCATCACTGAGTTTATTTTATAGCGAACTCCCCCAGTATCATGTAAGATTATTTTTACAAGAATATCAGTCTTGTTTATTTAAGTTCTCCTAATCCAGGACCTTTTTTTTTCAGGACGTTTTATCACTAAAAACTTTTATTGTCATTCTTTAAAATTAATATATAGGAGGAAAAAAGTATTTTTATTTTTAAATTGTTTGCTTCTACGTGTTGAATAACTGTATTAAAATATAATCATTTCAGTCTTTGCAGTATCCTAAAAATAAAATTAATCATTTTTTTGAGTTGCAAAAAACATTCAAGTTTTATATTTACTTTAATATCTACTGAAAAAAGATTATGCATTTAAGAGTAACTTGCTTAGGGATACTGGAAAATTACAAACTGAAAATTATAGAGTTAATGTTTCTTTCTATTTGTATACTATACAGCTTTTTATCTATATTAAATTTGTATTCCATCAATTCATATTTTTAATTGCTCATTTTTGTTGTTGTTAACACTATAATGATGAAAATAGCGTTAAATGTCATAAAGCGCTGGAGCATTTTTATTTTATAAGTGATAATCTGAATTTATCGAAGAGTACACAATAAGTATTCTTATTAATCAGTGCTTATTGATTATTATTTAATTTTCGGAATCAGATAACGAAAGTACTTAATTAAGATTAAAAAATAAGCAGAATAAACTTTTATCAGTGTAATGGAATCCAGACACTCTAAATATAAAGATGACAGCAATCTGGAAAATAGAATCTGAATAGTTTATTCAGAAGGTCAACCATTAATTACTAACTTGGTATTGTTTTGAATTCTGTTTTAGCTAATTTGATCTATTTTTTATGCCAAATACCATTAGTTAGGTACTAAACTGAAGTTGAAATTTAAAAGTATTTGCATGTACTTTTTTCCAATGCTGAACTCAGCAATCAAAGATTTAATAAGCTGGTGGGTATGGAAATTAAAAATTGATATTTTGCTGACAAGAAATATTAGTAAGTTTTTTAAAATGTCTCCTTACAAATTAGGTTAATCTTTTGAAAACTATCTTCATAAAAATTTTAAAAAATCTGTAGAAATTAAAATTTTAATTTTATTAAAAAAATTACATTTTCAAAAGTTTTTTTATTTAGTAACTGCACTTGGGGCAATTTGAAGCCCTGGGGCCTCTATACGATGTTTCTCTTTGCTTACTCGACTTGTCCCGCAGTGGACTGATCGTTAAGACACGGTTCTAAGCAGATCACCGAAGTCAAGCATCATTGGCTGCTGTCAGTGTGCGGGTGGGTGACCACTTGGATCAGTCTGCTTTGGGACCAAGGGTGTGCGGTATTCGTCCTCGTTAAATTGTTCTACCATAAAGTGCTCGACTTCGCATGCAGGTCGTTGGGCTACCGAAGCGGGGTGTCATCCCCTCTGTAGGGGATCAAAATTGTGATGACGTGTCTTTGGTTCTTGTTCATTTACGTCGCACTAGAGCTGCACAATGGGCTATTGGCGACGGTCTGGGAAACATCCCTGAGGATGGTCCGAAAACATGCCATCGCAATTTTGATCCTCTGCAGAGGGGATGGCACCCCCGCTTCGGTAGCCCGACGACCTGCACGCGAAGTCGAGCACTTTACGGTAGAACAGTTTAACGAGGACCCATACCGCGCACCCTCGGCTCTTACGCAGGCTGATCCAAGTGGTCATCCACCCGCACACTGACCGTAGCCAGTGATGCTTGACTTCGGTGATCTGCTGGGAACCGTGTCTTAACGATCAGTCCACTGCGGGACGGCGTGTCTTTGGATCATCCTCAGAGATGTTTCCCAGACCGTCGCCAATAGCCCATTGTGCAGCTCCAGTGCGACGTAAATGAACTACTACAACAACAACAGCTTACTCGACTTGTTTTTTGCCAATCTATTTGATACTAACTATAATATTTAGTCCAAAGAAGTTCATCGTCCCGCAGTGGACTAATCGTTAAGACACTGTTCCCAGCAGATCACTGAAGTCAAGCATCACTGGCTGCGGTTAGTGTGCGGGTGGTCGACCACTTGGATCAGTCTGCTTAGGGACCGAGGGTGTGCGGAATTGGTCCTCGTTAAACTGTGCTACCGTAAAGTGCTCGACTTCGCGTGCAGGTCGTAGGGCTACCGAAGGGGGGTGCAACCCCCTCTGCAGAGGATCAAAATTGTAATGGCATGTCTTCGGATCATCCTCAGGGATATTTTCCAGACCGTCGCCAATAGCCCATTGTGCAGCTCTTTTGCGACGTAAATGAACTACAGCAACAACCAAAGAAATTCATGGTGAATCCTGCTATAAACATCAGATAATAAACAGTTCAATTTATTCAGACGAAAATTCAAATTTCTTGAAACTAGTTCTTGTTCATTTACGTCGCACAAGAGCTGCACAATGGGCTATTGGTGACGGTCTGTGAAACATTTCTGAGAATGATCCGAAGACATGCCATCACAATTTTGATCTTCTGCAGAGGGGATGGCACCCCCGTTTCGGTAGCCCGATGACCAATGCAGACTGATCCAAGTGGTCACTGACCGCTGCCAGTGATGCTTGACTTCGGTGATCTGCTGGGCAGTGGCGTATCTAGGGTATGGCAGGCATGGCTAGAGCCATGGGCGCATTATTTGAAAAAGGCGCAAAATCAACCAACACCAACGTTTCTTTCGTTTTTTCAATTTTTCAAAATATTTTGATATTTTGCTTGTTTTAAAAAAATTAATTTAACTCGTATACTAATACAAATTTTAAAAACAATAATACAAATTTCAAAAAAATAAATAAAACATTGAAAAGAATCATTTAGAAAACTCTCCAGAAAGCAGAATAAAAACTTCCAATGATCGGATCCTCAGATAAATCTTTCTTTTTCCAGTACCACAAGCAAAAAGACAAGATAAACATCTCTTCATATCACATTACCAGGATGTAAAAGGGCAATTATCTGGGGATGAATAGAACACCTGCAGGCATAGAAAATAGCCCTTTGGTGGTGACAGAGGGCAAAGAGATGTGAAAACCATGGGGTGTCCCTGTCCAGTTTAGCCCAATTATCTTAAATTTTATCAGGGGTGAAAATCACTTTGAAAAGCGGCTTTCGAATTTGTTGAATATACAAATAGAACCCTTG